AAAAAAAAAATAAAAGAATGTTAAATTGAAAAAAAGATAAACATATTACAAAGAAAAAAATTAATATAATTTAAAGAAATACATTTTTCTTTTTCAACAATAAAATCGAATATTTAAAAGAAATACAATTTTAGAAAAATATTAAAAAGAAGAAAAAAGAACTCAATATAAGTTTCGAAGATCTGAGTTAAATTTAAGATATACATACATATTTTTCTTTTTAAAACCAAAAAAACCTACAATTGTTAGAAAATTAAATTTAAAAAATAAGAATAAATAAATTAATAAAAGAAAAACTCCACTGGCGAACCTCGGATCTCTGGAATGCGCGCCAGTGTTTGCGAGAGCAAAATAACATACAACTGCGCTCTTCACCATGAAAGTTGGCAAGTGAGTTTTTAACCGACTTCAAAGAAAGGAGAAGCTTATCAATTCGTCGAAATATTTTTTTTTATGTATGTTACCGCATAACTTTGGATCACGTAGACGGGTTTCTGTAATTCTTTTTTTTTAAGGAAAGATTGTTCTTCAGGGGTAATCTCGAGGTTAGATCCGAACATTGGATCTTGAAGAAATTGGCGATAATCTTGAATTTTTTTTCAGTTTTATTTTTTTAAATACTTGTTTTAAAAATTACTTGTTTGCAAGACTTTCGTGTCAGACTGAACAAAGTATTTCCGGCTCTCTTCCCTACTGTGAAACTAGCTTAAATTAGCTGTATAGTGAAGCGCTTCGCTTACTCGCTCGGACTCATCGAAGAAACCTTATACATTAACAGTACTTTGAAGGCTTATCTTGCAGCAGTTTTCACAGACTTGAGGTTAACCTTTCTTCTTTGGAAAAATACCGGTTTCGGCATCATCAGCAAGTAATGTAATTTTATACTTCAAACCGATTTTGAAAATTTATTATTTTTAATAACGACAATAGACATTATGCTAAAACGTGCAAACATACATATATTTGTGCTCTTAGTTTGAAAATCGAAAACTTCATAAACATAAAAATTCTTCAAGATGGAATTTTCACCAAATTCCAAATTAATTTTATAGCAGAAACAGTTGAACGTCCAAATTTTCTAATTTTCTCCCAGCAAAGTTCCAATACGAAAACAAATATACTCAACNGATGGAATTTTCACCAAATTCCAAATTAATTTTATAGCAGAAACAGTTGAACGTCCAAATATTCTAATTTTCTCCCAGCAAAGTTCCAATACGAAAACAAATATACTCAACGACATCAACATACCCATTCCAATGAATATCACGCGCAAGTCCTCCAACTTCATTGGCTCGAAACCAGAATTTTTATTAGAATCCTCCAATGTAATTACATTCATCGCCGTCAACTCTACAAAGCTGTGACGTAGCCAAAAGTTTATAAGCCCAGCTTCCTGCAGTGTCAAAAATAATTTGTTCAAAGTTGCGCGATAAACCGAATTTACCGGCAAGGGCAACACCAATTGCGCATCCTTTTCAATGCAAATATCCGAAGTGCGAAATTTAGGCTTTGAGAAGTATTTCTGTTGCTCGTTGTATATGGACCACATATCAGAGACCACAAATGCATAGCGTGTGTCAAATGAGTTCCGCAACAATAACATCTCTGTGTAGTTGGTAAAAATTGTGAAGTTCTTAATATACATAGACATATTTGTATAGTGGCTTATCCAATATATATCGCTTGTGCCCACAGCTATCTTAATGCCACGCTTTAGGACGTCCTCAATAGTTTTCATTTCCGGTTCTAGGGGTGCGTTTACAGTAAAACTTTGTAAGTAAGCATTGTAGGCGGTACCAAATATGATACCCGCAAATGAAATTGTAATGCAAATATACTTCTGACTCCTTGAAAGTTGCCTTTTCAACCAAAATGTCATACCCAATAGTCCCTGTAGGACCGAGATATTTATAAAATATTCGATGAATAATGGCTGCCGCTGATCCTTCCAGCGGGACACGACAGCCCAAACGCACGAGATTAGTATCAAGCTGAAGCAGAGCATGTAATTGACATAGGTATCCATTATTTGGTTAAAGAAAGCAAATGGCGGCAATGGTTTTTCCAGGGGTACCATCAAGCACCAGTCGGTACGGTGCACTACAGTCGTTGAACTCAATTTAATGTCACCAACTTCGATACGGGAAATTAAGCCAACATCTGCGCTGCCATTTTTAAGAGCGCCGCGTACTTCAAAATGATAAAGCGGTCTTTTCGGATTAGCAAATGGATACTCCAGCGTGACATTGAAAACGCGTGCATACTCAGCGAATGCTCTGCCCATATAGCCACTCACTATTTGGGACCCACCGGCAGGTGTATAGTTATAGGTTTTTGGATACCAAAGCCTTTCCATGAGGCGCATTGGCTGACCGTGCATATTCTTTATAGGACTGGCGAAAACCGCATTATTTAATGGTTTAAATCTCCTTCTCACAGTTTGGCGAACGGGAAATATTATTAACTTCCAATACTCGCGTTCTACCACTGCCATTTGTGGCTGCAATGCAATAACGTTCGTACCACCCTGCCCTGCAGAAAATTCAAAAAGCTTATCCACATAGGCGTCAGTGGCGGTGTCATCCAAAAGCAATATGATAGGTTTATTTCTGCTCCAGTGTAAACGCTCCAACAGTGTGCTTATCAAATGCTTGTCCCTCTTTGCGTTTTGACTTAGTTGCACAATGCTGAGAAAGTTATGATTGAACAGGTCTCTATAGCGCTGAATTGGCGTGAGTACATCCACGTTGATGACGGCAAAGAGCTTCTNATTGAACAGGTCTCTATAGCGCTGAATTGGCGTGAGTACATCCACGTTGATGACGGCAAAGAGCTTCTGAGGTCGAAGTTCTTGTAAAATATCCGGCACGTTTAAATGATCCTTACTTGGATTCTCGCTTCGGGTGTACAAAAAAGTGTGAATCTCTCTCTGCTCTGTCATGGCCAAACAGATGTCCTTCAAAATTTGGCCAAATTGTTGGTGCATAGGTGATACGCCTATCAGACTGAGTATCGCAGTTAGATTGTAAAAGAGTTGCATTTTCTTTTTTGGTCCAGCTATGGCTTGTTTGAATTAAAGACTGAACTCTGTTGAAAACTTAACGGGTTACGTTACTCATTGATTAGTTTTTGGGTAATAAATCTTCTTTTTTTTATTTCTTTGGGACTTACTTAACTTAATTAATTGTGAATTGGTTTTTTACATTTAAGTTAATAAAAGCTAATTGCTTTAGTTGGTATACATTAGCAAATTGACTCCGCTTGCCGTTCAATAAATCTTGAAATGTCAAACTGCTGGATCACTGTGGTGGAGAAATGGTAACGGAAACTCTTTGCGGGGTGCAGCTCGTAATATTATCGCTCTGTAAATTCAATTTCAATTAACAAATTGAATGCTATTGATTTTGGGTATGGGTGATCAGCCAAAAGTGCGCTTACTGTCATCGCTCCCTAGGCGCTACCTTCCGCTCGCATGTACTGCCGGAAGTGGGAGTGGCTGAAAACTAGTTATAGCTACTGTCATGTCTCTGAATATAGTACTGGCTAGCAGCGGTCGGTGTGACCAGGATGGCCGTTTTCCAATTGTTTCCCCAAGCTGGCGATCTGCCTGCCGCTATCTTTCATGGAGCCATTGGGTACTCGCGATGAGACTCTGAGACGTTTTCGTCGAAAGCCATGTGGCCTCTGACCTCGCCTGATTAATAATAGCTCCATATTTAGTTGCCGGCTCTTTCGTCGATCTACACTGATAGCTAGTTGACCCCGTCAGTCAACCGCTTTTAGCGGAGCTATTCTCTCAGCAGAGGCAACCTATTATCGACGTCTCGATTACTTAGGGCTGGCGTAAAGCTAGAGCTATGCCGAGATATGAATCCATCGAGTTGGGTGGCATGTCATCGTCTTCTCGGAAGCCGAAGCCGTGACATGGCTAC